TTAGCAGATCATTTTCATTTTTAGTTCGAGTTTAGATTTTGTACATTCCAAAGATTTGTTTTTAAAATATTGTTTTGTTCAGTCATCAAAAATTGTTGTCCCTTTCTCATTCGGATATTTTCTCGATGGAATTAATCGTTGAAGTTCTAGTGCACCGTCAGCGAAGTCATAGTACATCAACACTGCCAAATGAAACGGTGTTATGCGAAGATTTTGATACGACTTTGAAGGGTAAAGATGATGCGAATATGTATGGTTCGCATAGCAGTGTAATACTCTCGGAGATTATTGCCAGTTGTCCGGAACCGGAAGCGACCAACTCTGAGTTGTTGACAGATTTCGAACTGCGAAAAACAAGGTTGTCATCGTTGTTGATTTATGTTCTGTCCTATAAAATAATCTAATTGTAGGGTTTCATCATAACAGTCATATGCAAATAACCTAATTGAGACGGTTTCAGTCCCTTTTTCGCAAATTATTTCTTAAACGAATTGGACTTGAGGTATTTGAAACGTATAAAATTCGCGTAATAAGGCCTTTGACAGTCGAAAGGCTAAATTCCGTTTGACTGCAGTTTTTGGGTATGATAAGACCTATGCCTGTCAAAACCGATGTAAATGAATGAATTCTATAGGCACATATTGATTTACTCACCTCAAATATGAACTTGTTCTGTGCGGATGGAGTTAAATTGCATCCGCTCATCTGCATTACCCCTCAAATTGTTATGTGGGTTTGTTGAAATTCCTGATCGAATACCAGTGCATCGATGTTCAGTTGACAACAACAAGCAATAATGCCTGATATTTGTCGAAAATTGCAGATCGGTGGCCAGCTTCAGTGGTCCTTCATCGGAAATGAGCAGCGAAAAAGGCGATAACTTAGATTCGAGAGTTGTTGAGACATTAATCATACCATCGGAAACAACTTCAATGAATTCAGTAGCACTCTCTTCATCGCCACAAAACGTCAGCGTCGAAAATGTGATCATTTCACAACTTTTCGATGGATAATATCTTATTCTGCAAGGGTCAGAGTAGTGTATTGAAAAAATGACGGTTGCGGGTTTCAGTTAACGATTACCTCATCCGAGAATGCAAAATTACGTCCTCAATTTAATTCCTAACTTAAGGAGTAATGTAATTTTTAATCAGATACAATATCACGCTAAGTTGCACTATTCAGTCACAATCTGTTGCATTCACATGACAAGTTCTTAGATTCAGTTCCTGCGAGAAGGCGAGAAAAATATCGACAAAAAACTGAATCCATCGCAGTCTATGTCAACGAATCAGCTCATCACACAAATGAAATCATCGAGTGTTTCCAATCTATCAGTACGAGACGATGAAGTGCTCTCGTCTCCGAAGGGTGACTTTCTCAAGGATAATAGCAGACCTGCATCTCGTCGTGAGCGAATACAAGTTCGTCATTTGTGCCCTTCGAGTAGTCATCAAATTTTGACTTTCCAAAACTCAGCGAAAACTTTCATTGCGATGTATTGAATGTGAATGACAGCAGAAATCATATTTTAAACTTCCTGAACCAAAATGAATTCCATTGCTTTCTGGACGGCATTGTTCAGATGGCGTTATGGATATGTGAATTTGATGAAATCACAGCGCTTGCAAAACGTGATCTGGAATGTTTTTCAAATATTTGCAAAAATTCTGATTATGTATTGCGTTTCTAATGAGTTCAGATTTTGAACCACACAATTTGCTCGTTATGACCATTTAAAGTAGTCATCTGAGATTTTGAAGGCAAGAGCAGCAGAAGTACAAGCTCGAGCCGCAGAGATGGCTGCGGCAGGTAAAGCGCGAGTGTCTGATCTTTGGTATCGTCGAAAAGATCTGCACTCATCGCAAGTTGAGCTTGCCGCCGAGGCACTTTCGAACGAAATCGCAAATGAGGTTTTGATTGATGCATGCACTTTTTATCGTTGATTCCCTCCTCATTGCTCACGAATGAAGTTGAGACTGTAAGGAAAACGGAAATGAGTTGTTAAGAAGCGACAATAGAAATTTGGAGCATAATGAATAACTGCAATTGCAGTCATCTCCATCTGCTTCTCCACTGTTGAAACCTAAAAGAGAAAGACTTCGAGCAAAAACCACCATCGAAAGTCCCCAGAAATCAC